CACACACACACACTTTCTGTTTCTTCTCCCTCCCTCTCATCAGTCAGCTGGGCTTGTGGCATGCTCCTGCATTGTTTCGGGTTGGGAGAGCGCTCGGGCTGATGGGGGTGTCCTCGATTGACCCGCTGATTCCAGGTTCAATCAGAGGCCACGGGTTTGAGTGGATGTAGATGAGCAATTTTTCTCGTTTTGTCCCCCTTTTCAAAAACGGCTTTCTTCGTTTTCTGTCAGCGGTGGAGGTGATCAGGGAGCCAGCGGGGCGGCTGAGCGAGCCCCTCAGACTGGAGCAATACTCCTCTCAAAAGTGGTTTCAAAGTGGGAGGCTGCACCGGTCTGTTGTGAAATGAAACATTCAACTGGAAACATTGAGGTTAAAGCTGTGCTACAAAAGGTGCAGCTGTGTATGTTATGGAGAGCAAGTTCTACATTGAATACACTCAATAAACAACCTCAACTCGGTCACCCTGTGATGTTTCAAAGACTGTTGATCTCCAGCTTTTCTGCCTGATTGCTTGTTTCATTATATGTAAATTGAGTTACATATAATGACAACTATATGTAGCAAAAACATTTTTTTTTAATTGTGCTTATTTACCTTGTCTCTTTTAGATTTTCCCAAAAAGAGATAGTGAGATTATTTTTGAGAAAGCTTTCCTATATTTTGGCCAAATGCACTTTTATTTACCTGAAAAATGCACTTTTATTTACCTGAAATATACAGAAAATGCCATTAGCTCAGTAAAAGCATGAGCGTGCTCAGTCGTGTTGAACACATTATGAAATATGTTTTTTTTAAATTCATATATTTGCTGTATTGGTGGAACTTTGACCTGATGTTAGTGTAGAGAAAACCTCTCTCTAGAAAGTCACACCGGGGAGCTGCAGGTTACAGTTCGCAGTAAGCTACCATTTGATTTCTATGGACATTTGCGGTGGCTAGTCTAACCTCAGCGAGCTTCACACTAAACATTTCTTTGCATTTCTATTAATTGTATGTTGTCATATTGTGTTTGCAGCCGTTGGAAGCCATAGCTCCAGCTCCAGTTCAGACGACCTTTTTCCCAGCCCTGCCTCCCCCCCGCCGCCCCCTCGCACTTACAAGCCCTGCTTTGTGTGTCAAGACAAATCCTCAGGCTACCATTATGGCGTCAGCGCCTGCGAGGGCTGCAAGGTAAGGTGTTCGGGTTCACATACATCTTCAATTACAAAGATAAATCAATGTTTTCTCTTTTTTTCAAATGTGTTTCATTATCTTAATCAAGCTGTTGTATCATTTTGGGATGAAACATGTTGAATTTAATGAAATGCACGTTTTATTATGTTCAGTTGCTTTGTAGTGGCCCCACACTGAAGGATAATGGGTCAGATTTTGCAAATGACTGGCAACTCCCCACAATCGTTGGGGTGTTACTGATTTGAGGCTGGTCTGAACAGATTATCTGCTCAAATGATCCTGCAGTATGAGGGGTTTACAGACATAATCCTAATTTTACAGACCGCACTGGAGTCTCCCTGATTTTAAATCGTGTATTGTGAACAGAAACAGAGATGTAATATTGATAAGAAACCCTCAATAGCCAATGAGAGTGAGCTGACCAGGAAGGGTAATCCCTCTTCAGGGCATCTGCATCTACTGTAAGTGGCATGCCCCAGATGTCCTGTATTTTAACTTGCCAATGTTAGCTAACCTGCTTTTATATTACGCTAATATGCTAATGAAGAGAGCTAATGTTGACTACGCGTACAATTGAAAAAGTTGTGGATAACATCATCTGCATTTCCTCTTTTTCTGTCCATAACCAAGCTCAACAAATATTCTAGGTTACAGTTCAATATTTGTTTTAATCTGTTTCTAATCTAAATTTACCAGGAAAGTATTGATTGCTGTATTTGCTCTGAAAAAACACCAAAACAATTACAGGGCCTGAACTTAGTCCGGATAAAAAATTGTGTGTGAGCAGTCAGCATTACATTAACAGTGACCTCGAGACAACATTTACACACTATGGTGAAAACTCAGATATCGGTTATTCTTTATTTGTATTTATCTAGTTTGTAGGTGTTATTTTAGATTTTTTTTAAATCAAGTTTTATTTATATAGCACATTTTTAAACGATTTTTGGTCGAGCCAAAGTGCTGTACATATAATAAAAATACCCTACAGTAAAGACACTTTACAGAAAATACAACAGCACAGTATGTGCAGAATATCAGTATGAGAAAACGAGACCCTCTGTCCTTAGACCCTCACATCGTACAAGGAAAAACCTCCGGAGAAATCCCACAGTTTAAAGGGAAGAATGGGAGAAACCTCAGGGAGAGCAACAGAGGAGGGATCCCTCTCCCAGGACGGACAGACGTGCAATAGATGCCGAGTGAAAATCAAAAAGATAATACATTTACAACATAGGTAGTCCAAATGTTTGGAAATGCATGTGTCTGTAATAAGAAGATGAATCCATGAAGATGTCAAAAACAATCCTGTGGGAGCCATCAGGGATTTAAGATTTAGTCTGTGACTCAAATTTAAAACAAATCATGCTACACATTTAACAGAAATGTCTAGTCCCAATTTGTTGAGATAGAATTACAATAAAATTCTTCTAGAGGTTTCTTAAAATATATAATATACACATTATATATATAAATACATTAAAATATAAATATTTTACTTATTATCACATGATGTATTCTGGTCCCCAGAGTCACAGTATAAAGTATATATGTATGTTTTCCTGTTCTGTCAGGAAATAAACTATCCCAGCAGTTTTCCCATACTCTATGCACTTAATCATTTATATCTTCTCTTTACTCGTTGTTTACTATGCAGGGCTTCTTCCGCCGCAGCGTGCAGAAGAACATGGTGTACACCTGCCATCGAGACCGAAACTGCATCATCAACAAGATCACCAGGAACCGCTGTCAGTACTGTCGGCTGCAGAGGTGCTTTGCAGCGGGAATGTCCAAGGAGTGTAAGTGTCTCATCCACTCTGAGGACACATCCTCCTTGACCCCCTCTCATGCAGAAAACACAAGAAGGATTTATCTTGTCTTACAAAATGTGAATACGTTCACTGCAAATGACTCCTTCAAGGACAGGGTAGATGGTAGATAGTGGACAATGGATAGCAGATGTCATTGATCAGAGTGAAGAAGATAATAGAGGTGACTCTAAGGTCAGTCAGTCACAAATGTAAATGATCAACTCAGGTTTATCACTTGTGTCTTCGCATATAGCAGTCGCATGTTGAAAACCTGATTCATGTGCGAGAAATACATATTTACCTGTACAGACAAAAATAGCGATGGTCCGAATACACACCTTTTAACCCGTTAAGCCCCAAGCCTGTTTTTCAGGCCTCAGGCTCGAAAATGACATTCCCAGAACAAATGACCATATCTTCACTTCTAAAAGGGGTAAATTAATAAACTTTTTTCTCAAAGTAATGATAAACCTGTGAGTTGGATGTAGAAAAGTCAGAATCAATATAGATTTTTTTTATTTTAAAGTAAATTCAGATTGAACATAGTAAAAAAATGTAAATTATAGTGTCCATCCAAAAACAAAAAACATGACTTATAGTGAGAACCACCCTTGAATGATGGGATGGTAGACACAAAGCTTTAGGAATCCAAACTATAACATATAGTAAGTACCCTGTATCAAGATTGATGCAAAAAAAAACCACTTCTGGGATAATTTGGGTGGATTTGCCATATCTCTGGCCCCCCCTCGGTCTATTTTGATGATTGACACCTCTTTTGAACCATTAGAGCCAATAGAATCGAGGGGAGGTTCCTAAATCCATCTAAACATTTCCATTGAGGAGGAGTGAGAGTGATGCGCACGCAGTTTGCCCAAAACCGGAAGCTGGGTTGTTGCTCTAATAGCAGCTAATATGAAATCTCCGTTTTTGACAAAAATTGAATGATGGATTATCAGTAATCATTTAAAAGTGACTCAGACGCATTGGATTAACCTTCAGCAGCGTTTATCTCGTTTTAATGCCATTGAACAAAACCTTTGATCAGAAAAACACCAACGGTAAGACATATTTGCCGTTTTGGCTCCGTAAAGCTACGCTGTGTGTTGTCTGGGTTTGCCTGAGCTGCCGCAAGTTTTGGTCGAACAGTGATGATACTTATACCTCTGGAATCTGTGGAATCTCAGCATTAATCTGATATCTTCTTTCTGCAGATCCGATAAGTAATAAAGTATTTCTACCGTGAGTTCTGTGCTAAGTGCGTTAGAATTGTTTCGCTCATGACTAATTCAGAGGCTCGGCGTTAGAGTTGTGTTTTGTTTCGGTACAAATTGTTCATATCGTCAGTTAGCTGAGTTTCTTCCCGTTAACTGGGTATGACACATTCATCGTTTGTTAAATGTTAAGAAGCCCTCAGACGCTGTTTCTTGCAGATGTTGTGTTATTGCCGTGGGGCTCAACAGATCCTCTTTTAAAGGGGCCTATTATTAGACCCTCCAGAAAAACGCGATCGCAGAATTGACCGCATAATCAGCAAAATGCCGCAGATTTTTAAAAGGCCGCTTATTTATCAAAAGGCCGCATAATCCCCGCATTTTTCCACACAAAGTTGAGAAAAAAAAAAGTTAACTCGTCTTGACGTGACGTCATCAGCTCGCGGATCACAGAATGTAAACAACACTGTATAGAGTGAACGTGTGGAGCTCACACGATAGAGAAAACACCAAGATGAAACAATCTAATCCATCTCATTTACCGACGAACATTTCTACTAAAGACCGGGCAAAAAGTGGGGGGAAACTATTCTGCACCCCGTGCAACTGTGTGTTGGAGCATAAGAGAAAATCGACGGTGACGACCCACTTTGATTCATTCAAACATTCGAAAATGCTTTCTGCTGCTGCGGACAAGAAAGCCAAACGACGCACGTTCACCGAGGCATCAACCTCCAAAACCCTTTCGAGGGCTACAAGAAACAAGATTGAAGCTGGTCAGATAACGAACGAGTAAATGAAAACAGAATGAGGCGGAGAAGTGTGTGTGTGGGGGGGGGTGTGTGTGTGTGTGTGTGAGATTAAAATAGCCCAATTGCTTTTACAATAAATAAACATTGAATGTGTTTAATTGAATAGGAAAGGGGGTGCAAACTTTGGGATGTTGGCCTTTTTTAAGACCATTTACATGCAAAAAAGCCTATTTAATACACTACAGGAGAGGGGGGAATAAGCATGATAGGGCCTCTTGAATCAATCTAGCTATCTAAATTACAATCTACACACACATCTTACTTTTACCGACTAACGTTAACAACATCCATCTCTTAGTGTGGTGTGACAAATATCAGCTGATCTGATTTCAGAGGATGTCGCTTTAGAGGTCAATTCACCTACATTTTGAGATGTACACTATAGGGTGTATATTCTCCCCGCGCCGACCCTTCACCCCCCACTATCACAGCTTGATTAACTCACTGAAATCTCTCTTAGCACTTTCAACTCTGAGTGTTCAGATACCAAAGTCAATGTGGGATAAATAAATGATGACACAATGTTATCAAGCTGATTAAGGCCATTTTGAGATAATGCCTGGATCATTTATCAATTAAAATATTTCACTGAGGTAACACCAGTAAATTCCACTATTTATATAAATGTACACATTTGGCAGGATATGCTGCAATCTGCTGATGAATGTTGCCGTATAGTGTATAAAACCGGATCAATTTTTCATTAGACAATGATCTTGTTACCGCCTCACTCACAGCCTGTCGATGTATTCTGTTACAGTGGTAAAGCCAAAGTCCAGCTACTGCAACCTGGTTAAATTAGTAAATACATGTTCTATTGTTAAATAGGGTAAAAAAAAAATCTTAAAAGGTTCATTTGCCAATTTCAATCAAATATTCTAGCCTATTATCTCACATATCTTTTTGGACACCAACTAATACATCAGCCTTCTTATTTTGGAAATTATACCATTTATCTTCTTTTTTTATACATTTGCACTCTGCTTAAAAACACTGTAAATCTACTTCAGATGTTTGGATAACACGAGTAGGAAACAAGCCTGCACAGACCATACTGAAATCGTATTTTACAAATAATATGATACTGATTCTATAAGACAAGCCTAATCTTTAATACTGGATTAAAACAGAATAAATAGAGACCTTACAAAAATCTTCTCAGCATTGGAATATTGATTTAGAATTTGAAAAGACCTTTTCAAGTATTCATTTTTGAAATAACTCACTAAGAAGCTCTCAGTGAACTCGAGCTCCAGCAGTGCCTCGAGCGCACAAAGAAACAAAGTAATCGACCTAGATAACAGAGTGTGTTCTGTGGGGGAAGGCAGCGATAGGGCAGCAGTGAAGGATCCTCCCCATCCACATTGTCTGTTGTTGCCGCTCCACACTCACGTTACATAAATACATCACATGTAGCAGGCAGGTGGATGCTATGTAACGGCTTCGGTCTACAGCCACTGTGTAATGCGATCGCTCTTGGAGTACACAATGATGACTGAATGTAGGGCATTTGGAGATGAAGAGGGGGAGGTGGCGAGGGAGGCAGAGACGGAGGTGTTGCATAATCCTGAGATCTCTGACATGTGTGTGGCTGCCTGAGCCAAGTCATCGGGACTCGCTGAAACGTGTTCACACCGTTAGTAGAGTGGTTATGAAAGACTAACCTAGTTACGCTGTGTTTACCTGCTTCACATGCTCCCTGGAGAAACCCTTAATCCACACAGTTTACTGCCAGCTGATCTTTCCACCAGAGAAAGACTTTCGCTGAACAATGTTGACAGTCACGTCTAGAGGCTTTAACCCTGTAAAGCCAAAATGAATCCTCGTCCTATTTACACATTCCACAAAATGTACACAACCTGGTCTGGCAAGACTGTTATCCTTCGTACTTAAAGGACCCATTGACAATGTAAATGTGATCTTTAGAAAGATTTACAGCTTTTATCTACACTTTTTGATATACTTAATATATGTTATTTGGTGTGTTCTTTGACACCGTTGTTATTTAGTGTCCTGCCATATACTGTATGTTAGGTCAAAATTTGGCAACATAAAAGCAATTCAGTATCATTTACAGAAACGTGTTGTCTCTATAAAAGATAGATGATGCAATGATGAGTTGAATAAATCAATTAGTTGATGGGCAGGAAAATAAAGATGGCCTTAATAATAGACAATGGATTCATTGTTTGGCAAATTAAACACAAATGGCAGGAAATGCTGTTTTCAGCTTGTTACATTTGGAGATTTCCTTCCTTTCACTTTTTTATATTTGATATACAAGACAACACATTAAAGGTCCCATGTCCTGGCCATTTCCACTTATCATAATTCCATTATTGAGGTCTACTAGAATAGATTTATATTGTGCAATTTTCCAAAATCACTTTGGTTTCTCATACAGCATCTCTGTAAACTACGTGTATTCACTGAATTTCACTCTCTGCCTTTAACGGCTCGCTGTAGCTCCAGTAGCTCCAGCCCCCACCCTCCCTGTGAGCACAGTGTGCTCTGATTGGTCGGGACGTTGTGAATCGCGCTAAGCTCCGTGGAAGTGTTGTTTCCTTGTTTAGCGACAGCGAAACACAGCCAAACTCACCCTGAGCACACACAAAGTCACAGCCGAAGTAAAAACAATACGTGTGGCTTGATATTGAGTAAGAAAAAGGTTGATAAACGCTGTGAGAATGGGTCTGCAGAGAGAATTTCGCCGCGATCCCAACTGTCTGTTATCAGCCTGCAGCCAGGGAGGAGAGATCAGCAGATCTGCCTGCACTGAGTGTGTGTGTGAGGAAGTCCGTGGATTGGTAAATTTGGACCAATCAGCGGGGGCTTAACGTAACAGCTCCGCGGACGTAACGTAACGGCTCCACGGATTGGTCCATTTCGTTCCGGGTACGGTTGACATCATGCGTACCCGGAAGAATCAAATGGACAGTGACGTATCTCCAACAAGGCGTTTTGGGGAGGTATTTTCTGTGTTAGAGTTTTACTCCCTACAGGGTGTACTTTGAGGTTTTGTGACTCTGCAGACCGTTTACATGCATAAAAACCTTCATAACACAGAAGGGGACGGGTAATAACCAGAAAAGCATGACATGGGACCTTTAAGACATCACCCTGGACTTGAGAAACTGAGATGGAAATGTTTCACTCTACTGTGAGCGAGTAAATACTTTTTTATTATTTCACATGATGTTTATATGTATTTTTTTTTACGAATTTTGTGCATATCACTTGTCATTACTTTCAACAATGTTTTTTTCTTATAAAGAAGAAGTGTTTTGGAAAGGGTTGAATATCATTCATCAGTGTAAAATAGAGTACCATTGTTTGAACTGTTATTATGCCTTTTAGTTATTTTTTAAATGTCTTATAATCTGCGTGGTTCTTTTCCTCAGCAGTGAGAAATGACAGGAGCACCCGGAAGGGGAAGAAGGAGGCGGTGAAGATGACCATCATGGAGACGTACGAGCTGACGGCGGAGCTCGGCCTGATCGTGGAGAAGATCTGCAGAGCTCACAGAGAGACCTTCCCCTCTCTCTGCCAGCTGGGGAAATACACCACAGTGAGTCAACACACCAGACCTGACTGTTCAAATTACATTTGCAGAAAGGGAAAAGATGTCCTCGCAGTCCTGTGGTTTCTTTAATTAAGGTATGCATTTGAAGGATTAGCAAGTCTAAGTATGGTAGTTCATTTTTGACAGAAGATTTCACAACACTTTATTCTATGGGTCAGTCTTTTTCTAAAAAGTAATCTTAGGTTACCCTAAAATAGGAATATAGTTTGGTATTAATATTAAAGAAAATAAACACAATGTATTTAAGATAGGACATAGCTGAGAGGAAGTTGATTTCCTTGAATTAATTGCTCAATTTAAACACAAATGGCAATGTTGGCAAATGTTTTCTTGTCATGTTGAATTCTTTTTTTTTCCTGTTGACAAATTTCCCATTCTGGCTTGTTCAGCATCACTGACTAAAATAGGCTCTAAATAATCAGAACTTTGCGGCATTGTTTTAAGCCGCCCCAAAAGCCAAATTGTGTTAGTCAGTATTTGCGTAAGGACATGTTTGGTCTCATGCAATATGGAAAGCATAACATATCTCATGGAACAATAAGCACAAAACAAATCACAATGTGCAAACTGGGTCACACAACAGGAATAACCCCACCTCGCTTCATGAGAAGAACACAAAACTCCCTGCCGTTGCACAACACAGTGATCCATCTGGTATAATGTGTCTGGGTGTGCCCTCTTTACAAATAAATGAATGGTTTTCACATCACATGTTTGTGGTTCGACAATTCCGTAGAACTGAGAGAACGTTGGACGTGAAAACAGGAAGTAAAGAAGGATTAAAAAACGTCAGTATAGCTCTGACTCTTGTCAAATGCTATATGGCTATAATAAATCCCTCAAAATGATTTCTTATCTTTAATACCACGTGTAGAGGTTAGTTAAACAAAACAATGTAAATTGTATGTCATTTCATTCATTGTAATGACTATGTTTATGTTAAGGATGTTGCTGGCAGGGACCCTTAGTGAATTGTCACCTGACTGTGGCATCTTTCAACTCCTTATGTTGGTTGTATGGCTTCAACTGTTTTAGTTTAGCTTGCATCAGTTTTAAGAAAAATAAAATCAATAAAACCTCCTCTATTTCTTTGTCTATCTTCATCTAATTTACTCAACTGTAGATGTGTTTAAAAAAGACCACATACCATTATCAAGCAATGAAAACAAGTCATTTGGAATTATATTTCTAATAACATCATGTCTTTTAACGCCTTTAAGCTGGGTTCCTGAATCCTACATCTTCCCTTTTTTTTCGTTAATCCAGAACTCCAGCTGCGACCACAGGATCCAGCTGGACCTCGGACTGTGGGACAAGTTCAGCGAGCTCGCCACCAAGTGCATCATCAAGGTGGTGGAGTTTGCCAAGCGAGTGCCTGGATTCACCGGCCTGACCATCGCTGACCAGATCACTCTGCTAAAAACTGCATGCCTGGACATCCTGGTACACCTAACAATATCTTCCTATAACAGAGAGCTGTTCATAGTTTCGTTTAACTCACACCCACAAAAGATGTGCTTGAACCGAGTGACCTGAATTTCTCTTTCTGCACATGTTCACATATACACAGCTCCTTCTGCTCCTTTTCACCTTCTGTGGATTATGACTCGAGGGCATCAGCTGACATGCCAAACACAGACTGACAAGCCGTCTGGCAGACTGCGGCCCTTTTTAGACTGTGTCACATGTTTCATTCCTTCTTATCCTCCCTCCATTATGCACTCCTTATTCGCTTTGTCACCCTCACCACTCCCCTGATCTTTTACTCTGACACTGACTTTCAGCATCGGGGGAGTTCCATATAGCATCTCTAGCTCTGCAGAGTCTCATTTTCACACATTTTTCATTTTGGCACTTCTCGTGTTCTCCTTGTTTGCTCTACATGTTTGTAACTCTGTCCCTGGCACCGTGCATCACTGTAAACACAGAATAAGTCATCCTGCCACAAAACACAAAATATCCAGTGTGCCATGCATGCTTCCATGATTTGTATTTAATGTTATTTATCAGGGGCGTTGCACAGTAATACAAATTCATTAATTGAGCTATGTTTTATGTTTGAATGGCCATACACAAGCATAGTTCTTTTTCAGTGGTTGAAAAGGGCTCAAACATTATTTTCTAAAACAAACAGATTGTGTATTTGTCAAAGTGACATCTACTGGGCTGAAATTCATCTGCTGTTTGCTGACTTGATTTGCTATTAATCCTGGAAAAAATATACAAATGAATGTGATGCAGAAGCAAACATGCCTCCAAGCTAGAAGTAATTTGAAAGCCTTTGAAGCCTGTCTCATCACAATACCTGTCATGTTTCATCATAGCGATCAATGCATTGCTACCTGATACTTGTTCCACTGTTGAACACATACACATTTATATAATCAGTTTTTCTTCTTTCCTTCCTCTTTCTTGCTCTTACCTTCTTCCATTCAGATCCTGAGGATTTGCACTCGCTACACTCCGGGCCAGGACACCATGACCTTCTCCGACGGGCTGACCCTGACCCGCACTCAGATCCATAACGCTGGATTTGGACCGCTGACAGATCAGGTTTTCACGTTTGCGGGCCAGCTGCTGCCCCTGCAGATGGACGACACGGAGAGCGGCCTTCTCAGCGCCATCTGTCTCGTCTCTGGAGGTACTGAAGCTCAGAGGAGAATACAGCCTAGCTCCTACAGAGAAAAAGGAATACATGTAAGCTATTGTAAGTTTCGTTTAACATCTGTCTTTCCTGTTTGTCTGAACAGACCGACAGGATCTGGAGGAGCCGTCTAAGGTGGAGGTGCTGCAGGAGCCGCTGCTGGAGGCGCTGAAGATTTACTCCCGTAAACGGCGGCCCAGCATGCCCCTGATGTTCCCTAAAGCCCTCATGAAGATCACAGACCTGCGCAGCATCAGCGCCAAAGGTCAGCATTGCACTGCTAAATGATCATATGATTTCAATGATACACAGTAATAACTTAAATACTAAGATCTGCGATGGTAGTATATTTGGGTCACTATACTGTTTTGCTGGTCTGGCCCAGTGTAGGGTCACAAAGAGTTTTGATTCGATGCTAAAAAGAAATCATTATGACACAATCAATTCCAGAGGGGCCGACATCAGCAACCTGTGTCGTCAGCGTAATGGAGATTTTTCCAACAATACGACAACGTGATTAAAATATTGTCTTTATAAACGGAGCCGCTGTTCTCTGATAGGCTGTTCTCAACTAACTGCCAAGCAAAGGCTAGCAGATGGCTCATGAAGGATCAATATAGGTGAAGGGGGGAGGATGTGTAAGCACAGTGCAGGTTGTTTGTTTACTAGAAAGGTCATGTGTTTCATGGAGTGAGGAGTCACAGTCTAAAATACAAAATGACTCAATTCAAACCACAGCAGCAGGCGCATCCATATTGGTTTATCACATGTTAACACAGCTGGAAAAACCTAGAAGTCCTTCAACTGCACAAAAGTATCTGTCAGTATGTGTGCTATGTCAAAAACATTTCCTTTTCCACAGGCGCTGAGAGGGTGGTGACTTTAAAGCTGGAGATCCCGGGCTCCATGCCGCCCCTGATCGAGGAGATGCTGGAGGATCTGGAGAAAAACTGTGAGGAGAGCAGAGAAGAGCCGAACACCAGCCAGCACACACACACACCGACTGCTCTCAGCACATGACTTCTTACTCTGAAGTCACTGCAAGAACATTGGCTCTCGTACTCCCTCCCAGAGAAAAGGCTAACAATATAAACTAAAGATGCAGTCCAGGTGGTTATAGTGTCTTACCTCAGTTTCACAGATCGGTTTGCAAACGCTCCACTTGTGTTTGTCTGAAGAAGAGATTCAGTTGTTACACTAACGACTACGCTGATGAACGAAGAGCTAATTTGTGCTTCAAAGGGGGAAAAGAGAATGATGCAGTAATGTATTCATTTGTATCACATTTTCATTCTTTTAACCCCTTCTGACAGACACCTCATAACCACTGGAAATCACACAGGTTTCTACTGTATTTATATTTGCATGAGTTATCACATGGATTAATTTTTACCTCATTAAGTAACAACGGCTTTGGCTTTAGTGTAGCAAATTAGTAAACAAATGGATTTAAAACACCTTCTTGTTGGTTGTACACGTGTAAAAAGAAAGCTCTGGACTAACTCTCTAAACATGTTTGAAGAAAACGAGCAGATTTATCCGCACAAAAGGGAACAGTTTAAAAGCAAAAACGTTTTTTCTCAGAGTTGAATGTTCATATCTTACATTAACAAAAATCACAAATATGTGTGTATATATATATATGCCGACTTGATATAGGAAAATACAGAGAACTGCTTAGCTTTGAACAAAACTAAATAAGCTGAAGATGGACCTGAGAGCAGAATGTACTGCTAATAAAGGAAACACATGCACATGATAGTTTGAGGTTTATGAAGTTATTGAATTTAGTGTTGGAAATTAGATCAAATATATTGAGTGATGGTATGATTAAGAAGGTATTGCAGATATTATTGTATTATAAATATTGTGCAATTTGTAGTTTTGAGTTGTAAAAGAGGTTTCTTAATTTGCTTGTTAACTATCTATTTGCACATGTTTTCCTAATATGCTGTGCATTGAGCTCTCAGTCACCATAAAAACGACATAGTTACTACAAAACTGTTTAAGTGATCAAACAATTCAAATCAGCAAAATGATTGTAGCACAACAAAAGTTATAGGTAAAATAGGATACATTGCATTGTGGGATTGTCTGCAATCGCTACACATGTTTTTTGTGGCATGTTTTTTGAGCCCTATATAATGCGCTCATTATACACTCAGAGTTCAGAGTTTATTCAAATAAAACGGCAAAGGGCTCATGTAGAGCGCTTTATATTAAATTGTGAGTGACGCTGGTACCCTTTGACCCCTCAGTGACTCCAGGACGTCCCTGCCCTCACTCAAGAAAAAGTCCTGCACGCGACCTTTCAAAAAAACACACCTTTTTTGTTTTCACATCTTAATTTTGTACACACCTATTAAAAAGAACAAACTAGACATTAATTATTGAGGTACTGATTGGTGGATTTTGGATTGTCAGGCCCAGACTAGCTGTTTCTCTCTGTTTCCAGTCTTTATACTGACAGTAACTAAGCTAAGCTTGTGGTATCAATCTACTCAACCAACTCTCAGCAAGAATTAAATAAAACATGTTTCCCAAACTGTGTAACTAATATTAAGAGCTTTTCGCTCAGTGTTTACGGTGTAACTTTTCCTGGACCACTTTTGGTAAATGTTTTGGCTGGAGATCTGCTTAGTTGTTTTACACTATCAACACCATTTTATTCTTTCAAACATTTCCTAAATGCAAAGTTTTTGCAGTTATTGGTTTGACTGGATATTGTTCAAAATGATGGCGATCTAAATCAATTATAAAATATACTTTGTATATACTTTTGAGTTCTATATGTGTTCTACAAACCATTTTTTCCTTTAACACAAACAACATATTTTAAAATGCATCTGTGTTGGATATTGTCTTATCATAGATAGTCATACATTAGTTCTGTGCCTATGTACCTCGGAATTGATACTAATAAAACACTTGCAACATTAGGAAAAGGATAATCGACAGCTTAGCAAACAAAAAGCTACACATACAGTGGCTTTTTGTCGTTGATGGCAAAGCGAATGAGACTTATAAATACAACTTTAATGACAGTTGTTCCTCAAAAATGTACATTCCATGAAACAGAAGAATGTTTAATTGTATAAAAATATCTGATGTATGTAACAAAGCAGGCAGCCTGTTTACTGTAAGAACTCATGTGCCTACTCTTAATGTGCCAATTTCTCTCATATCTTGGAATTTGACATACTCTACCAATGTAACCTGGACCATTTATTCAGATTTCTTTATGTTTTGGTTGGTCTATTAAAGTGTTGTGTACTTTTCACTGAAGCTGTTGGTTTTTGTCATTTCTGAGCCTTGAGGATGTTAGCGGTCTGCTCGTCTTCATTCGAAAGTCCGGACCATACTGCCCCCTGTGGTCCCTGTAAGGAAACTGCACTGCAGCACAGCTAATGGGGACAATGAAAACAACAAATCACTTTTTTAATTGTATCTGTTCATGGGTAAAATAAATCCAGATGTACAGAAGAAGAAGCTAATTGTAATACTGTTGTGATAGTGGATGACTTGTGGCTTCGCCAATATTTCAAATACATTTATCTAAGTTTCCAAAACTCAGTCAGTAAACATTAAACAAGAAATACTTAGAAATGTTACTTAAAATAAATTAATACCATTTACCAAACTGTAGTAAAAACCCTGCATTCAAGTTCTTACCTAAGTAAACACATAGGCAAGACATATTAATAAAAGCATAAACATTCTTACAGTACTAAAGGTACAATTATTTATTGTACAAAATGGCGTATGTTCATAATTCTAAGTATGTTATATTATTGTGTAATGTATACTTAGTGACTGAGTTAAGTATGTCGAAGCTGGTGAAGTTTAACTGTTGACTGCTTTACTGCCGTGTAGCTGGTCAAATTCTCCTTCGGGATTAATAAAGTCACATTTTAACACAAAATTATACAAAATAATGAATTTGTTGAATCCATTTTACATTTTTATTTGAAGTCACTTAAGTGATCAAATACCTTAAGTGGAATAAAAAGTGCAATATAGGCTATCCCTCTGAAATCTAGTGAAGTAGAAGTATAAATAGCCGGAAGGTAAAAATACTACTTAAAAGTTGTAAGTAAAGAACTTGCGGATATTAGTTACATTCCAGGACTGTTACCAAACAGTTAATGCATGTGAATAAAAGCTTCTTCAGATGTGTTTATTTGTGGCCCATTCTCCCTCTGACCCTTCTTCCTGATATCTCTCCATTACACTCCATTGCCATTCTCCACCTGTCCACTAGATGCCCTCGGACTCTCCCCCCCCCCTGGTCACCTGACTCCCACATCCTCCTGCTCACCTGTGTCTCATTTCCTGCTCATTTGTCATGTTGCTTCGTGCCCCCTTTTAGCCACCTGCACCTGTAAATCTGCAACCCTGAGCCCATTAACTGATCCCTGACCTGTTGCCTGCTCAGGATTCTCAGTTACTTTTGTTTGGACTTGCTTCCCCTGCCAGTAAACTTTTTGTAAATTCACTTACTCAATAAATCACTGAAACTACATTTTCGGCATTTGCATTTTTCACCTTGTTTTGGAACCTCCATCACCATCAGTGCTGGAAAGCAAGTAAGTACATTTAAAGCTCTTGAGTGTTTCCATGTTATGGTAATTTAATCTTCTTCTCACCCACACTTCAGATGTGTATAATGCTATTTTTTAATCACCTACATTTATATGGCATTTGCTTTTCAGATGAACATATTAAATAAACATTTTTGATATGCTTATAAAATTGATTGTTAAAGATGTTTTTGGCATGGGATCCCTTACAAATAAGCAGAGTATTGGTTAGTTGAATGCAGTGCAGCAAATAACTCTCACATTCACAGATGCATGCATTATCCAACATTTCACACACTACAGCAAAGATCAGAGAACTTATCATCGTCTGGAATAAATAATTTATTTGGTATATCATTTGAAATAGCTTATTCTACAGATTATACTGATAAATCCCGTATGGATCAAAGTGCATATGAAAGCGTCCCTGAAGCTGCCCTCCATTCTTCAAAATGACTGTAAAAACATTCAGTGAGTTTAGCACAGTATATTTCACATGTTAATCATTTTTTTAACAGCAGTAATGATAACCTTTGACTTGTAATTAAGAGGAAGGTTTGGATTTGGAGCATTTTGAAACATATGCGGTGTTATGCAGTGAGGGGTTGAACAGTCACAGTGTTGAGTCTGGTCCTGAGAACTTAAAGAGCTAGACTCTTTGACAAATGGGAAACTTTACACAAGAAAAAAAAGCTTTGGATAGTGTTTAAGGTTTAGTGTGTTGTTTCTTTGATGTGATACATTTTTCATGGACTGAAATAAATACAAACCGGATATAACAATTATCACATATATGTACATGCATAGATTCACACAGTTCACTAAACTATTACAAATAATCAATGCCTGAGAACCAAAGAGGTGTGGTGTTGCTGCAACGATTAGTCAATCGACAGAAAATATTTTGGCCAATTTATGGATTTTAGGAAAGTGATTAACATTAACGTTAACATTAAAACACGGTGTGACAGATTTTATCAACCAAAAATGGATTAATTGCTATTTGCAGGCTGAGAGGGATGGACCATGTTACAGCCGCCTTACCACAGCATGGACTAAGCTGAGTAATAAAGAGAAGAACATACTTAGTTTTTGAGTTACGTTGCTTCCATGCTTAAATAAAATGTGTTTTTCCCACTGCTTGTGTTAAAGGATGCAAATGAACAAGGGTTAATTGGTTCCTCTGTCATCTCTTTTCTCTGTTATCCTAAAATAAGAAACAGAACAGAGCAGCAGTAAGTCCAATTATTTTCAAACATGTTAACAGCTCATACCATAGATCAAAAAACAAATCACCCATTGCAGACAACATACAAATATCTACATTTTAAGCTACATACAATCATGACTTGAATTTTGTGAAATGTCATAATGGGAGAAAGTCACCTGCTGGGTTGCTTCGTAGTAGCTGTTCTCCTCCAGCAGTTCCTCTATGATCCCCTAAAAAGAAACATTTGTACAGGAAATCACGTTACTGGTAGACAGACATTCAATATGGTTGTGAAGCGGAAATTAAATGTTTTTATTCCAACATGTAACAAAAATATGTATTCATTATTTTTTAAATACGGAACAGTTCAACGTTTTCGGAAATCTTGGTCACTTTCTTGACGAGCATGTTAAGGAGATTGATACCACTCTCTGGATGTTAACTATAGTTTAGCATTAGAACTGGAATCTGAGGAAAGCCGGCTGTCCTAGCTCTGTCCAAAAGTAACATTGTGAATTCTGAATCTAATGCCACTAATCCACACTTTGATATCATGTTTGTGTAATATGTATTAAAACAGCAGTGTAAAAATGACGTGGAGGGGTTTCACGGGGTGATGGGCTGGAACTATTTCTTGAATGGCCGCATTTGATATCCCTGCCTTCAGTCTAAGACAATTGCTCCTGGATGTAGCTTAGTATTTAATATAAATAAATGTTAAGTGGTATCAATAACTCCAAAAAGTTTTACTGACAAGGTTTTTTTATAGACATGAGTGTTTTTTCAGAATAATACAGATTGCCTTCTCAGAAAAACAGACCTGCATCTGCTGATAGGTGACTCCGTCTTTAAGATTCCCGTCATCTGTCAGAAGCAGAGAGGAAAGCAGATTGGCATCACAATTTAAACAAGAAATGTCCTCAGGGGCACTACTTTGAACTTTCATAAGGTTTGCTTACCAACCAGATTTACTAGAAGTAGTTGAAATTGCCAAAACGCACCAAACATATTCTCATTTGAGCTTAAGGGTAAAAGTAGATCTGTCAAAGAAGCTGCAGTGTTGTTGTAGCTGTGGCCATTTTAAATATCACTGTACCTGAGCTGTCAGCATTAGCCTCTCCTGAGAAGTGGTGGAGCAGAGGCCACCAGTCTGAAGAGGCTGAGCCTAACTCCATCAGCTCTGGAGAGGCCTGGAGGAGCTGCAGGGAAACGGGAAGGACATCCTCATTTTAATTAGGGGGGCGGCAACACTCTCCGGAAATAAAACATAAAATAATGTACACATAAACACCATTCTCTAATAATAAACATGGATAATACATTACATCAGATAGAGCTGTGGCCTGACTCTCAAGACACAAATAATAAATAAATCACGTGCTAAGTTGCAGCAAGTCTGAGTTGAGGTTTACATATAAATAACATTGTTGACATACCCATGTTGGGTAAGTTGACAAACCTTGCTGAGCTGCACTTTCAGGTTGTATGGATCACTCCCAAATTGGAACAGAGACTTTTTAAATCTTTCAATGACACGTCGTTTGATGTTGCGGTGCGAAGCTGGTGGAAGCTGTAGATTTAAAAAAAGAAAAGGGAATACATTTCAATCGTAATTTCATATCTGCATTTAAGTACTATTTCTGATAGAAAGAACAGCTGGTTTTGGCGCTTGATGGCCATGTGGTTTTAAGTTTGTGATGCATTTGTAATGGAAAAAATAAGCGAAACAGTCAATACATTTGGACTGGTGAGATATGTTTGCAGCGTTAAACTGAACATTGATACGATCTAACAACAAATCTTATGTTACTGTACCTGAGTGATGTAAATAATTTTGTGCAGCTGCACGAGGAGCCTCTGGATGGGATCATCAATCTGCCGGACTTTCTTCTGGGAAACACAGATCCCTGCTAACACTGAGGCAAGAGCAAAACCACAGACAAACAGGGGGACTCAGGCTAAATACACAGGAAGTAAACACATTCTTTTTGAACTTTTAGAACGTCTGCTCTTAAAGTTATTTTGTGTAGAGCTTTCACATTCGGTTGAATATGCACCTGGTCTTGGTTTAATGTTGGCAGCAGCAGAATCCCCACTGAGATGAGAGGAGAATTTAAAGGGAAATAAGTCAGATACGATTAAACATTTTTTTTTCAACAAACATCGGCTACATTAACAAATACGTTTTTCACATGACTAAATATTGATACTGTGCCTGAATTCGAAACAATACACAGTTCTCACTGACCACACAGAAATGGGTACTTTTTGATTTTATACTTACCTAGACTGATTTCGGTCAGGCGTAACACAGGCACTGGAAGTTAGTCCTTTTATCAAAACAAAACAAATTAAAAAAACAAATTACGAAATGTTACCCAACCTCATGAAGAATATGATGGGCACTAACCGTAGTGTTTTCCTTTAGTGATGTTGCATTGCTCATCATCTCCATCTGATGCCTCATCTAAAACACACGTCATTATTTTATTTTAAGCCAAATCTTTCCTAGTCTGTTTTTAAATGATGTGCAGTATGAGACAGTTACCTTGTTCACTGTGGTTTGAACTACCGGCCCCAGAAGACCGTGGAGTTGGATATTCAATATTTATTAGGCATTTTTCCTGCAAAGATTGAAACATGTATAAATCGAAAAGAAAATACAAAAAAATTACAGTATTTTTACAACTTTTGTTTTCCAAATCCTATCTACCTGAGACGGGTTCGAGTGACAGCAGTTTGTCTTGCTTTTGTGCCTCTCCAGGAAGTACTTCTGCGCTCGTTTCCTGTCTCTCTCTGCTCTTCTTTCCAGTGCATTCTGGGAAGTGTAGAGGTCGTCCATCAGCCTCATCATGAGGTCGGAGATCCTCGTGGTGACGGCCACAATGTCGGGCCGCCGGTCTGGATCTGGACTCAAGCACCTGAAAGGAAAACCCCTAAAGTATGTTGGAGACTGACTGATTTTAAATTACTTTAATATATAACAATAAAAACACAAAATAATGATGGGATGAAATGTACGTCATAGAAAACTTTCCAAAATGTAGTATTTTCCAAACGTTTAAAAATAATTATTTCTCTTTAAGTCTCACCATCTGATCATATCTGTGACTCTCTCTGAGAAAGCTCCTTCTTCAATTGGCTCGTAGACGGCCCCTACAATCTAAAAGAAGCAAAGAACAATAAATAGAGAGGGGTGTGTGTGTGTGTGTGTGTGTGTGTGTGTGTGTGTGTGTGTGTGTGTGTGTGTGTGTGTACCTTGCTGGCCAGTGACAGCATGTTAGTGCTGTAGAACGGAGGCTGTAAAGTGGCCATCTGGTAGAGGATGCAGCCCAAAGCCCAGACGTCTGCTTTCTCTCCATATGGCTCATTCTTCACCACCTCTGGACTAACACATAACATGTATACATCACTTACATGGACACACACACAGCTGTTGTCCTGACCATAAACACACTTGAGCTGCTGTATCTGCTGTTTCTCTAAGTTGCTAACAGGCTGTATAAACAGCTCTGCTATACTTCCTTATAGGGTATGTTCACCAACAGAGGATTTTTCAAATGTTCTTCTTATCTTACAACACATTTTTATTTTTGCATGTTTGAGATATTTGTTGGCCCAATACGAATAACAACAACTAATACATTTATGATGCTCGAGAAAACATATATTACACCATGTTCAACAGATTTTATTCTAGAGTTCATTGAGAAGTCTTTACAGTAGCTAGCAGTAGCCTGATGCTCAGAATGAATTTCCTCACCAGGAGTAAAGGATGGTGCCGACCACCGAAGTCAGCTTGCTGTTCTCCAGTTTCTGCTTGGCGAGGCCAAAGTCAGCTAAAAGTAGAAGAAAGACTTAGGTTAAAAGCGTATCAGAAAAGAAAGGGAGAGTAATAAACTGGTGAAACTCACTGATGGTGACTTTGTCCTTCTCCCCCAGCATGATGTTGTTAGGCGAGAGGTCGCGGTGAACTATTCTCTTTTCCATGTGCAGGTACCTCAGTGCCAGACACATCTGAAGGAACATAGAGAAGATATATTGATTATTAATTCAATTATTAGCAGTTGAAAGCACGAGTTAAAAGGTTAGTTTTTAGGTCTTACATTATTTAAATCTTATGATGAATATCTTCATATATGTCATGTAAAAGTTTTTTTTGTAATCGTTTATTTAGCAGGGACATTGCACATCAATGAACACTTAAAACAATCAAATGTGTCAAGCGTAAATATGCCAGATTTAGCTTTAAGCTCATTTCCATCCGCAGTCCCTCACATAAAAACATTTAAGAAAATGACATTTTACAAAAAAAGCATAAAGAAATGCATGATATGCAAAAAGAGCAAGAGCAGCATACACAAGTATTTATCACATGGTATACAATCTAGAAGCAGCGACATATAAAGTGCAAGAGAAGATAAATGTGCTACATAAAGTGCATTTAGCGGTGATTACACGTCTGGTTGTTTCTCATCCATTCTTTGAGTTGACCTTTGAAGCTATTGAGAGTGGGACAATCCGTATCTCAGTTGGGAGGCTATTCCACAATGAGCTGCCTTTAATGGAGAGGACATGTTGTCCAAAAGTGGTCCGTCTACGGTGGACTTCACAGTCTCCTCTGGTTTCTGAGCTAGTGCTGCGTCCAGTGTGTTTTTTGTGGACGAATTCCCCTATGTAAACATTTATAAATAAAGCACATACTTTTAAAAGACTTAAATGGTCAAACTCAAGAAATTGCGTTTTTCAAGGATGGTACAGTGGTATGAATTTGGCTTTCTGTCAAACACCTTGATAGCTCTCTTGTACAGCTGTTCTATTGGTTTCAGGTTTGTGGCACAAGCAAACGACCAGTTTGTAAAACAGTATTCAATATGTTGTGTTTTTTTAATACTCAACCAGGTGAAGATTTCCAAAAAAGGAGAACTGTTACCTGTATGAAAACATTCCAAAGTCTGTCTTCTGTGAATTTCTGCTGCTTCTCCTTCAGAGAGTTGAAATGTTCAGCCAGTGGCACTCCCTCGATCAGCTCCATCACAATGTACAGCCTGTCGCCTAAAACAAATGTTATTTAGGCTTTGAACTTTTGTTGTGTTCATTTCTTTTAAAAGCTTTCAGCTAAAATGATCCTTACCTTCCAAAAATGTCTTGTAATATTTAACAACGTTTGGGTGCATCATCTAAAGAAGGAGAATCAAAGAATACATAAATACACAAACCACGGCTGTCCTTGGCTGAAAGATAGTTTGTCAGTCACTACATTAATTTGCCTGTTCTTTGACGATCGTGAGCTCAGAGATTATATTCTCCACGTTATTGTCTCTCGACTTCTTGTCTTTGCCAAACACCGGGTTATGGAGGTTCACTTCTTTCAGAGCAAGGAGGTTCTGGCCACTCTGCTTTCGGACCTGTCATAGAGTATAAGTATTGTTTTATTGGAGCCAAAGAAACTTGATATGAATCACCTAAACTCTTGTATTGTGTCACAAAGAAACGTAATTGTCCAAGGATGTTAGCCGTACCTTAAAGACGCTTCCAAAGGCGCCGGTGCCCAGATGGTCCAGTATGGAGTAACCGTTGATGACTTTAAGGGGAGGTCGGTTCTGGTCCACAGTCTCTATGCTCTCTTTTAGACTGTCCACTTCCTCTTCCTGTATCACGTATACACAGAACTCCATCCATTTGTAAGTTAAATAATCCTCCTTGTCAAACTTTATAGTTTTATTCATGTCTAATCACAGTAATATTTGTATTTGAAAGCCAGAAACTGCAACATAAACAGTGGAATCCATTTAGAAGCTGTTCTCTTACAGTGTACAGTGAAACTTTGGTTTGCAGCCCCTCGTAGGCCGCGAGGTCCCGCACATAATGTCCAACATCAATAAACAACTCGAAGAGATCTGTGGGAAAGAGTCTGAAATGGATAAGAGATTACATAACAGCACTGGGGAACATGTGAAGAGAATTCTTTCAAAACAGATTTCCCAAAATAGCTACATTTGGAAGATTAATGTCTGAAATGAACCTAAGGCAATACATGTTCTTTTTTCCTTAATGATATAACATCACCTCTTAAACAGATGTCGGTTTCTTTCCACACTAAAGAGAAACCGGAGGGTCCGAAATGCATAGCACTGTCAAAATGCAAACAAATGTACAGATGTGTTAATTTAAATCAAATCAAGTTTTATTTATTTAATAAAAACACTTTACTACGATCACAATAAAAGACAATAATTTACAACAGAAATATAAAAAACAAAAACACAGGGAATAGTCAGGTGTCATGCTCCACTCTGACTAGAAGGCCAGAGAGAAGAAGTGTGTCTTCTTCAGTGAGGATTTAAAAACGCCTTGGGTCTGGGCCGACCTCACATGGAGGGGCAGACTGTTCCAGAGCCTGGGGCCAGCTGCTGCGAAGGCTCGGTCCCCTCGGGTTTTAAGCGGTTACATAATCTACATCCACAATATTATTTAATTTAATTCCTACATCAAGCCAAATACCTGTAAAGATGTGCGCTTCGGTCTTTGGTTTTGTGGTAAAATCAACTTTACGATTATATAGACCCCATTTTCCTAAGAAAAGAATGTCACGTTTAGTTGACACAATATTTAAAACCTTGTGATTTGATACGATGGTGAACATATTCACTCCAATCCTCTGAACTGTAGTACTCTCTGTGTATGTTTCCATACCTGCACAATGTGGTGAGCAGATGTGTCATCCAGACTCAGCTCAGTCAGAACCGTACAGCAGGCTGGAAAGGGATTACAGAGGATATGGAAAAGCCTAATTTAAGAACCCTTGAATGCAATCCAATAGTCTTGGAAAATATTACGAACATTATGACATGACCATTAATAACTGACTCCCAAAACCACAGGAAGACACACACTTGGACCAGTTGCCTTTAGATTGTAACATTTAAAGTGTATCTTGTATTGGGAGAGACATAACAACATGTTTGTGTTTAACCAAACTTGTTTTATTTCATAGTCTTGTCTGTAGACACTCAGAGACAGCTCCAGCAATTTCCTCTAAATCATAGATAAAGTAAATCCTCAGTGGTGTGTAATTTCACTTCAGGAAACGGCTGTTGACATTCTGAACAACCGATAAAACTCCTCGGGGAGAAGGATCTACTCGCAGAGGCAAGGACATGGGCCTTTTTAACTGTACTAAATTATTTACAGGACAGAGTCTTACTGGGTGATTTCTAAATCTCAAGAAACCCTAGATTAAACACTTTATGTGCAGTGTGTGTAATAACGTGTCTTGTCCCTGACCTGACTGCAGGGCCATGGTGTTGTCCTCGTCCTCCTGAGGGCTCAGCTCCTCTCTGATGTGCTCTCTGTGGATTCGGCCGGCTGCGTTGGCGCTGGAGAGCGTCTCGATGGACGAGCGGTCACAGATGTACTGCCTGTCACTGGGAGAGTCATTTTATATTACACAATACCAATTCATGTAAATTAAAGCACTTTTATCTAATTTGTTTTAATACGCTTTTTAATGGCAATGTTCTGTACTCAGTTGTAGGTGAACCCTCCATCATACTGTAGGGTTAGGGTTAGGAATAATTGGAGGTAAAACTTGGGAAGAAAAGACAGAAAGGCTCGTTAAATACGAGGCAGTTTAAACCTGAACCTTTTAAGAATACTCTCGGGTATTGCAGGAATTTAGAAGCGTACTTCCATAAAGTTGTAAAACTCGTATGAAACATATTTCATAGAATGGTCATTTTATAAAAAAATATAAATCAATAAATAAGGCTGCAGATGCTGCAAAGACACTTGATCCCACAACTCCCATTATGCGACAAACAGCCCCCTGTTGTTGATGTCTTTGCATACTCCAGATGTAATGCAGGCTTTCTGCTATAAAATGGAAGTCTCAAAAGCTGACAAATGAACAATTTTAATAAAAGATGCTATCGAGTTTCATTATGGGAAATGTAAGATCTGTTGTATTTGGAGCTTGACTTTTACCAGTCAAGGCATTATCCTGGCCTCTGTTGGTCTGATTTTAATCATTCTTTTTGGTATTGTCTCTGAGTCCCCCAGCTTAATGAAACAACTACGTATACTGAATTGAAGGTGGGACATCTTAAGATCACAACATCACTTTAACATGGACTATTGAATTGAATTCCTATAATTATCAAAAATGTTTGAATTGCTCAGTCTCACAAACCTGTGGAGCAGCCGGAGAAGCTGCTGCACCCCGCCCCAGCTCCGGATCTCCGCCCTGGTGTCGGGGTCCTCACAGAGCTGGACCAGGACCCAGGCCACGCTCCACAGCAGCTTCAGGTGCTGAGCGTTCAGCAGGCTCAGCAGCACCGGCAAACCCTCCAGCCCCCTCAGCTGCTCCCTCACCTGCCACACCGGAGACAGGAGCCTCAGCAGCTCCGCACCCATTCTGGAGGAAACATCAGGTTCACTCTAATCTTTCTTGTTTCTTTGTATTCAAAGGTAGATTCTTGAAATAGCTTCCTAGCTGCACCACACTTTCATAAATAAAGAATTGATTGTTATTCAGTATAAAGGGTCATTTGTTCTATCCCAAGCAATGTGTCTCAGTGCACTTGCAGGTGACACAACGTGGGAACAGGGATGAACAAAAATGCAGACACTTGATTTGTTTGGCTAGTTTTTTTGTACGTTATCAACATAAATAAAGTATGTTTCCCACTACTTTCAAATACATCAACCAACATTTCTTACCTCTTTGAAAGCAGGTCATATTCTTGCAGTATTAGAAGTAGGTTCTCAACAATGGTTAGCTCGCCAATCTTCTCCTTGCATTCTGGGCTGCAGAAAACAAAGGCTTATCACAGATGAAATCAAAAGTGTATTTACAACGTTAAAGAAAGTATTTGCCCACCTCTCAGCCAAAGTGGTGAGTGCCAGCAGGGCCCCCAGCAGCACACTGCCATCTGTTGTTGAGAGGAGCTTCACCAAGGTCTATGAATGGTTGATTGAAGTAAATAATTAACTCTTTCTCCACAAAGCACATTACATGTAGAGGAATACGAGATAAGAAACTGAGGGCAGAGACACCCACAGACCATCATGCTACAAGAAAAGGATATCCTAATATGGTCACACATCTCACAAAGAATGTGCAACATAGCACTTCCACTCTATGAATGTTTTTTTGATTAATTTGAAAACTGAGAGTAAATATTTGCATATATTTCGAACCTAAAATATGCCTACTATCATCCACATATGATATTGTTTCTAAATTTCCCATTTTCAACCGTTGGTGGTCTGCAATAAGAAGGTCATAATGTGTATAAATTGGAAAATGTTCATTCTCTGGGGAGCTGGGATTTCCATGGCAATGTGTGCATTAAATGTAAGCCTTGTTTGTATAATGACATGCCACATGTTGGTGCTAGAGAAAATGAGATGAGAAAAACAGCCAAGACTAGTGCTGGATGGACATGCTGGCCAACATTGTCAACCTTTAGCCCTCATGCTGAATCAAACAATATTTAATGGATTATAAAAACTAAATTCTAAACTAGCACCAATACATTCAATATACAACATATATTGAGTTACAAGCACCACCAGGAATAACTTCCTTTATGGCATAATGTTTATCCCAGACATAAATATGATATAAAACAGATAACCTTATCTCTACTTATCACTCACCCTGTGAGCGCCGCTATGGATGACCCAGACCCTTTGATCTTCAACGGCAGACAGCTTCTGAAACATGTCTGCAGGGAAATCAGCAAAGGCAGCATTACTGAGGCTCATATTATCCGTTTTTTGATATTTAGTTTTATTGATTACTCACAGGTCATTGTGACCAGCTTCTGCACAGCAAACGCCTGTTCACCACACGATATGTACATGACAGTGACATGCTCCATATACTGAAAGAGAGAAATGGGGATGTCATGAGATATGTAAGGATAAATCAGAAAACACAGCTTGTTTAGGCATGTGAAGAACATCTTGGAGGGCATTTACCCTGGCAAGTAAATTGATGCCTTGGAGCTGATGGAGGATTTTCTAAAAGAAAGCAGTTATAAGAGACAGTTTCTTCTTATACAGATGAAGTCTTCGTACAGTTCAAGATAAAATATGAAATATGAAAGTTTATTTACCTGATGGTGAGGATCTCTAATCAGTAATCGTAGACAGATCAGAACTCTGAGGACAGACTCAGGCAGAGCATGGTCAATCCAGTCACTGAAGAAGGAGAAAACATTGTCACTTAGCTTAACATAATACAAAAAAAAGAAAAGCATGCAGTAAATAAAATACACTTTACCTGCAGAGTCTGTTCTTCACCAAAGACGTTAGGATTTCAGAGAAGAGTTTCTGCAATGGGTGGCTGCTGAAACATCTTTGGTCTCTGTATGTGATGCTGGAAAATTAACGTAAATATAATAAGATCCACAGTGGTACAGACTCTGATTCCTCAAATCAATATTATATTGAATGTAAAGCTACCAAAAACATAATTCAAGAACTTCTGTAGTTTTATTGTTCAAAACAAGTGAATGTAACTTTAAAATGCAAAATGAATTGGTAAAAAAATACGATAAGAATTCATTTGTTGAAGCAGACAGTAATAGAGATAGATATAGAAGTGATAATGAGAGGTATATAAAACAAAAAAAAAGAACAAAATATAAAATAGTAAAATATATATATATAGTAATGAGGAATTCTTTAAGACAATTCCCTAAGCATAAAAACCTGAATTTGTCCAGTTCAGATGCTTCGCTGGAGAAGTCACTCTCACTCCTCTGTCTGCTGGTATCTTTTGGAGCATGCAGGCCTGGAGATCTGCTGACTCCACTGCTGCGTGCTTTACTGTGACTCAGCGCGGCCACCTGCAACACAGGGAGTCTCATACTACAATATATACACAGACCAGGAGAAATATGAGATGGTTTGTAATGTTATCGAAAGGTCTAGGCACTCAGCCATGGCGTGGCCTCATGTGTTGTTGTTCACCTCTTGCCTGGGAATGCCTTTGGCGAGCAGGGACTGGAGCCTCCTGAGATCATTGGACGCCCTAGAAAACAGGCTTCATCAGGCGAATTGGTTTAGTTATATGAGGGGTTATTTTTGAATGACATTACAGACTTTAAAATGAGTGTGAGGAGGAGATGAAGAGGCTTACTTTCTCTGTAATTCTCTGGATTTCAGGAGCGATTTTTCTCCTTGTTTCAATTTTTTAACTGGATTGGACATTTTTAACGTCCCCCTTTGTTTCCATGAGTAACCTGTGGTTTAACTTCAGACATTTTTGGGACATATTGACATTGAGACATAAATGGAATTTAATAAAGGAGATACATTTATGCTACCTTCTACTTCACTGTATTTCGTACGCAAATATTTCACACAATTAAGTAACAATATTTGTATTAGCATACAGCCAGCGTACAGAGATGCAATCATTGACAAAGATGGTCTCAGATCTCAGGCTTCTTCAACATAGCTAATTGAAGATGTATAAAGAAAAATACTTTAAACTGAAAACTATTTATCATCTTTAGTTACTTTGCAGAGTTAGAATATTCATACAACATGTAAATAAACCATTGCCTTCTGATATACTGTGTTAAAAATACAGTCATTAGAATTAGCTCCTCCTTTACCAGCTGCACTATTAAATTGATGAATGCATCAATCCAGTGTTATCAGAATCTGGTTTTGGGGTTTAGGTGTTCACAAACAAAGAATTTGCAATAAAATAAAATAGAATACACACAATTAAAATTAAATAAATATTTAAGAAAATACTGTCAACACATTTCAAATTATAATATAAAGAACATCTTTAGCATAACTAATCATTATTCTGAAATAAGCCACATAATGAGTAGCCTACTTTTACTATTGGTATTTGATTATGCTAAAATTTGAGGAGGCTACTTTTGGATTTTGAGTTCAGATATCCTACTTGTAGTCTACACTGTAGCATAGTATTGCCACTTTACTTCAGAAAAGCTCTGAGTAGCCTGGGCCTACTTGTTTCACCACTGCTAGCTTTTGTGACAGGAAGGCTAGCTAGTTGTTTGGATGATGTTGGGCTAAAGGAAGTGTTGGACTGAGCTGTCCTTTTAGGCAGTTAAAAAAGGCAAACGTATCTTACCCCTCCTCCAGCATCGCAAACTAGAAGCATACAGCTATGAACTGCTAAATACAAACTGTGTTATACTATCCTAAATCGAGGATATTAGCTTCATAGTTTTTTTAATCCTTGAAACGCCAGAAGCCCTTGACATTAGCGTTTCTAACCAATCCAGGTAAGCAATAGTAGACAGTCCTGGTTACCATGGATACAACAGACGCTATTCGCATTCCGTCACCACGGCATTTAACACCGGAAGGTCGTTAACACCTTTCATTTTCAACATAAATACTATAAATGTATTTTTTGCAAACTCAAATTCATAACAATACCAACAAATTACAAAAAATACCGTTAAGCAGTACCCTACAGGGAACTCTTAAAAATAATATCAAATGTTTTTGTTTCTTAGTATAATGTTTTATTATTAGAGTTTCTTAATACCCATTCTATTTGATTTATTTATCAATATTTAATTGTTTTAATACATGTTTTTATAATTTTAATATTCTCTGTACCATATTGGAACATGTCAGCAATGTTTGCATATTTTAATGTTTTAAAAAAAAGAAGATTTATACAAATTCCTCACACACAAACTTGTGTTTCACCCATAGACTATAGGTTTCAACTAAATATTTTAAATCAACTGCTTCTAATAAGGTAAATTTATCAATCCATCAGCAACAAGTTATTGACTCATACTACACTGGATGCTACGTTGAGAAATCAGCCCCTATGCCTATTATTTAATGATAAATAAAGTAAACTGTTTGATTGATAAAGGCTAATGGTGCAGGAGGATCGGGAGGTGTAATTAGTTTAACATGTTTAAAAATGGAACCAAATATTTTTGGTTTGTGTTCGCGAGAACACGTCAAGACTCAAAGGAACTACAAGCTATCGCGATACTGGCGTGTTCCTCCCTTTGTGATTCACGTACAATTTACGTCAACCTTTTGGCGTAGGTTGGTTGAACACGTTTGGCGATGCGTTCCTCACCGTGCGTAGCTCAGGCAAAAGCTGCGAGAAGGGGAATGTCGGCTTGTGAATGATCGCTTTTTGAGGCGGCAGGGAGCGTCAACGTTATGGGTAAGACGCTGCTGCAGTCAGATTTATTCAGAAACCCGCGTTGTAAACTCCAACTCTGTTTATTTGTGTGTGATTGTATTCGCTATTTGAATAATTCTCCGTGCCGCTGTTTTTAGCTTCTGCAGTTGTCTGAGCAACCAACGCCCAGTCTTTGGATGGGTTAGCTAGTTGCTAGCCTGGGCTTCGCTAGCACTGTGCATAACCTAACGGGAGAGTCATTTCCTGCCTTTAGCTCTTTAGAAAAGTATTTTAGCAAACGTTTCTGTTTCTGGGCCACATTAACACACATCTTACTATGGTTGCGTTTTTTTTTGTCCTCAATTACTAGCAATTATTATTCAACTAGCTCACTTGGTGTCGCATGTTGGATTAAACAGATCAGAGTAATGCTAACGTTGACTAACCACTGCATGTGAGCTGTTGTAGCTCTACATTAGTCTGTTTGTTTACGTGAGAAAACGTTAAATGGTTGCACATTATGCAGAATAAAGTCGCTGTAGCTAGCAGTACAAATTTTCTTTACACTGTGCTTCTTTAATTAAACCGGGAGAACGACCACTTTCCGTCGTTTGTGTGCCCCGGATGGGGGCTCCATTAGTGTGTGTGTGTGTGTGTGAGATCAATAATTTGAGTAAACTGCCATGATTGTAGAATCTAGGTTAGAAAACAAAGCTGGAAATGTGTCACTGCCAGGCATAAGGAAGGCACGACTCTCGTCTAATCTGGATTACAGTGGATCTAGTTCCTAAGAGTTCATGTTTGACTTTTTTTTAAGTCATTGGCTCAGACTGACCTTTACATCCTAACACTGTGTGTGTTTCCCTCCAACTAAAACAACACACTGAAACATGCATAAAACCTGCACAAGCAAACTAGTCCGCCAACTGTCACCACTTCCTTTGGCAGACCTGTCAGACAGCCTGAAAGAAAACTGAAAACTGTCTCTATAAACTGACAGTTCTATTTCCTTAAAAAAAAATCGAATCGAAATCAGCTAAAATGGATATGACTAATGATGGTTTGCTAGTGAACTAATTTAAAAAACCAATGTATGTACTTGCACACAGTTGCAGTAGTATGAGGATGTTGCTGAGATTAAACTGCACATCCTGTAGGGAAATCGGCGTATTAAATCATAGCGTCACACAGAAGACATGTGGGCTGCTGTTAGTTTGCAGGAGATGCTCCGGAGTAAAGGTCGCAATCCTTTCCTAGCCACAGGCGATAAAATCTACTATGAATGGGCCTTGCTTTATGGTGATACTGACATTAAAGGAGCAAGTGGAGTGTAATATGAACAACACTGGCCAACTGTCAGTGTTGTTACAATAGCCCAGATCATGAATCCTTTTTGCCTCGGGCTTCTCAGCTTGCAATACTGATTCTGGAGAGAAAATGGTTTGTTTGTCAGATGGCCTGAGATTGATTCCATGTTGCTTTTTTGTGATCTCTCTCTTTGCTTTCTGACCCTGGAAATGCTGGCTCTTCACGCACAATGGGTCCATATTACATTGATCTACACAAAACAGCAGTTCAAACAGTAAGTATTGAAATTGTCTTTATTCTTATACCGCTTTGCAAAAACATACATTCTATAACTTGTATTGAGGATCTCAAAACTCCTAGATACCAACTGAGTCCTGCTTAGTTACAATTAAAAATGCTCAATACATCTAGACTATTAATATTCATATTTCTTTTAATGGCAGAATCTTGGATATGAATATTTCCCTCAATGTGATATATCTAAGATTAAAACTGGAATGAGCAGATGCACAGTTAGTATGTGCAAAACATGTCTGTAATTTTGAATCTACTTCAGGAGAACATAAAGGTTTGATTGATTTTTAAGACTGGGAGTATATTTCAGTTTTGGCAGCATGGGAATAGGGCAATTCAAAATGTGTATGCCTTGCAGCTGAAGCAGGTTTGCAAAATTTGATTTCTTATTGGATTTAATGTGTTTCTTTTTTTTCTTACAGCAGCAAAAGAGTCTGGAAGGATATGTTGGCTTTGCAAGCCTCCCCAACCAAGTGTACAGGAAGTCTGTCAAGAGGGGCTTCGAGTTCACCCTGATGGTCGTGGGTAAGAACACACACTTCTCAGCCCTCTGTTTGCTCTTGTTTTATATGAATCATTTCATTGCTTTTATTGCGGTTGGCATTTAAGAATTCTTCACTGTGGTTTGCTTTTGAGAAAGAAGGAGATTGTGTGTGGGCGCAGTCATATTTATACAAAAGGGACATGCTCCCAGCTTTGTTGTGTTAATGCTGAGTCAGAGAGGAAGGGGACCATTGCATTACTCTTATTCAAATTAATCATAGCGTCAGGTCCCCTGAGAAGAAACCTTTGGGATGGATTCATCTAGCAACATTCAGCAAATAAAAATGGAGACATTCTTTTAAAATGCCTGGATGTGGTAGTTGACACTGAGCCAAGATCCTCCTCGGCTGATCAGTCCCTGTTTGGAGGGGAAATGTTTCCTCGGGTCAAAACCATTTCCTGTGGTGGGACTGTCAGAATTTCTACCCAAGAATCTAAGAATAGCGCATCTCCTATGGCGTTCGACAACACCATGTTTCTACGGGGCTTTAGCCTATAGTACCACAGACACATTCCAGTTACATGTTAGTGTGCAGTCTTTTTATTGCTTGACTTTTGTATATAACTTTCCCTTATTCTCTGCACTGTCCTCTGCTAAAGCTTCTGGATAGTGACAAACTGTGGATTATTAATGCTTCAAAGTGTTGCTACAAATAGCTTGATTTTGGGAATAATTTAAAAAATATATATAAATGGCAATGCATCTACCAACAAGGAAAGAACAGGAGGTCCTCTGGGCTTTTCTGTTAGTTAAAGGCTTGCCATTGTCTTTACGGTATCACCCTCTTGCTTGGAACAATATTCAGCTTTTCTTGGCTCTGATGAGCTGTGAGCCCACATGTCCCCGCCGTGCAACGCAATGCGTCACCAGTGTGGTGTGAAAGAGGATGAAAGAGGAAGGGTAGGACAGAGATGGGACTGGTATTACCAGCAGTGACTGGCACGTCTGCTCTCGTGAAACACATGGCCCAACAACCTGTTCAGTTCACAGATCGCAGAGCAACTCAACTCACAGTCCTGTCATCACTACACATTTCAGTACATTTAACAAGCGCATACCCACAGCACATAGTTACGTGCCACACAT